GATGATTTTTGAAAAATTTGTACATCAGTTTTTAACTTGCAACAAAAATCATTAATAAACTGAATAAGCAGTGAGTTCTGTATTCTGAAGAAATGTGTGAGTCAAAATGTATACTGGTATTTGGCAGTTATACAGGGGGCATGGAAACTCTGATGGGAAGTGTGTCCAGGGGGCAGTGACCTTCTAAAGCTGGTATCACACATTCCAGTTGAATGTCTACATGTCAGCAAACATGTCGGCATTGTTGAGGCCAGGACTGGCAGACAGCGCCCTGGAGTACTTCCCCTTTTCCTTTTAGGAAGTAACGCTGTGGGTTGCTTCTGTATTACCGTTCACCCACTTGCTCGTTTGCCTGCGTGGTCTGCAGCATCTCATCAGTAAAACCCAAGAGAATCTACTGAAAAGGGATTAAATAGTAAGATCGTTCAGTGAGGTCAACAGTGGTCATTGGCATTTCAGAAAAGCAGTAATTCAACTGGGCGGTACCCATAAAAATGTTAGCGCTCTCTAATGAAAAGGTGCAAATGAAAAATATGTGTATCTTGACTACCAGGGGAAAAGTGAAAAAGAGTGGACTCTAGTGATGGAAAGGCACTTTCATGCTCTGCTGGTGGAAGTGTTGATTTTTATAAATATTTTGGATGACAATTTAGCAACCTGTATATCAAGAAACCTCTAAAAAGGCCATGTCCTTTGAAATCTGCCTCTCTTTAGCCTACAGAAATAGTAATTGCACATGTGCACAGATACATATGTACAAAGATGCTCACTGCCTCAGTGTTTATAAAAGCAACAAATTGGAAACAACTTACGTGTTCATCAGTGGAGCAACTGTTTAAATTACATTGCAGCTTTTAAACATGATGATACAGAGCTTTATATCAAGCTAGAAAAATGTCTGTGATGGATGTTTGTAAAACAGTACGTATAGTGTGGTATCATTTTAGTGAATGTGTGTGTGTGTCTGAGAGAGAGACATACAAAATATTAAGAGGTTCATCTCATCTCTGGGAGGTGGGATTACATAGATGACTTGCTTATTCCTTTATACTGTTCTGTGTCTTCAGAATTTTTTGTATTGAGTTTATATTATTTTTTATCATAAAAAAAGAGAAACAATTTTTTTTTCCCCTAAGATAAAAGTAAACCAAGCTCCTGCTAAATGCCGAGGCTCAGCAGAGAACTCTGGGTGGAACCAGAGCTTGGCCACTGGCCTCCAGAAGTTAATAGTGTGGTTAACAGAGTGAGGAGGGAGACTCTGTGATTGGCACACGTGTCGTTCTGGGTCACTCCTGAGTTTGTCTTGATTGTCATAAAGTCACCAACAAGGAATGTTCTCGGGACACCCTGACACACTGGACTCTGTAACTGACTTGGAGCCTCCACTTCTAGATACACCCCCTCCTTGAATGAACTCCTTTTCCACGGCATCTCTTTCCTATCAACACATTCTTGAATGTCTGGTCAAAAACATGTTTGCTCATCCCCCCCCAGCACGCCATTGACTGGGCTGACTTCCTGGACGTTCCCTCCTGGGTCCCTGCACTTCTCCTTACCTTGTTTCTCACATGGTACTTCCTTTTCTCCCATCCCTGCTTCTCTTAATACCAGCCTTCCCACCTTCAGCATCCAGCCTCCCATACCTGCAGGTCTTGGCACTTTTCTTTGTACTTTGAGTTTTCTTACTCACTCTATATCTTAGGCTTCCAGGCTTCCAGACTGAGGAGATGGTCGAAATCAAAGGAAGAAAAATTGACCTCATTTTGTCTCTGCAGTAATGCTGCATTAACTGTGTAAAGGAAAAAAAAGTTCAACTATTACCTGTGCCTTGAATCTGCCTGGACTCAGCTAGAGTCAGGGAAAACACTTCAGAAGATAATCTCATTTATAACTGCATGGCATATAGATAAAATTTCATTTATTGTCTATATTTTGTGAGATCTAAATATTTACCTAAAGGCTTTTGCTTCTAAGCTTTTGTTACCCTAGAACTTGCTATGTGTGGGGGTTCAGGCTTTACTGAAAAATGGAAAATCCTATATTTTCACTTTAGTTTTCTCCTATGATTAAAGTTCAGTTCTTTTTTCTTTCTGTTGTGCTCTTCTTGAAATTAACCACTCTGTTTTGCTAGTCTTAGAGACTGTAGAGAGCCAGCTTTTTTTTTCCCGCATTCACATATCAATTGCTCTTTAAATTAATTATGTGAGTGTTTTGACATTGTTTATTTTTCATAGTGTAATCCCTCAACTTTCATTGTTAGACAATAAACCATTCTGGTGTCCTTCTTCATGTGAAGGTTGAGACCATTAACTCAAATACGCCTGAAATTCTCTCCAGTCTCACAGTAAATGACAACCATATCAGGGCAGGACTAGACTGGATTTTCTAGAGATCCAATCAGATGGTATCACTTGCTATACAAGGCCAAGTTTCCAACACCCTTAACATAAACAAGCGTTGGAGCAAAGATCCCAATCTGATTGCTTTGTATCCAGATCTTGTACGAATAATTTAAATTGAGCATTTTAAGCCCTAGGAGTAAATGTCTCTGTTGTGAGATGGGACTTCCAGTCTTGGTTTTGCAGGGTTTATTTGAGGACACGTTTTGTAGACACTTGAGAAGCGTGAGGTTGGACAGAGGTTGAGCAGCAGGCTATTTCCTGGACTCACCAAGTGCTGGTGCCCGAAGGGTGCTTAGTAAGGGGAGCTGCTCACCTGCAGCAGACCTAATGCCGCGAAGTTACAGTCAGGCAGCCCTTTCCCCACGTCCTCTCCCTCCTCAGCCATTCTTTCTCCACCCAGAAGACAGACCTCACCATCATGTAATCATCATGTGACCCTTCATATACCTGAAGCATTCTATTCAAGGAGAAGTTTAATGCCTTACTGCATTCTGAGATTTCTTTTGAGAAGTTTTCTTCCTGAGTAATTTCAGTCATCCCTTGGTATTCACGGGGGATTGGTTCTAGGACCCCTTGCGGATACGAAAATCTTCGGATGCTCAAGTCCCTTCTATAAAATGGCGTAGTATTTGCGTATAACGAATGCCCATCTTCCCATGTCCTTTGTTCATCTTTAGATTAATATAATACCTGCTACAGTGTCAGGGCTATGTAAATAGTTGTGAATACAATGTAAAGGTTATGTGAATAGTTGCTGGCACCTGGCAAGTTCAAGCTTTGCTTTTTGGAACTTTCTGGAATTTTTTAAAAAATAGTTTTAATCCAAGTTTGGTTGAATCCACAGATTCAAGCAGAGTAATTTTGCTGCTTGCATTTTTAACCTAATTTGGTTAAGAAGGATCCTCCCCTCTTTGGGCTCTTTTGTTGAAGGAGATGCCCTACAAATAAGAGGAGGAGAGAAGCCAGCTGAGAGGAGGAGGGAGACCTGGAACACATCACTGGAGTGAGTCACACCTGACCTTTCTTCTTCCCTCGCTCCAACACTACTCTGCCAAGCTCTTATTTCTCAGACCAAGCATGTCTTCTCTTCTTCCCAAGTATAAAACATCAGAGCCAAAGTTAAAGACAGAGGTAGTTAGGTCAGTCTTCCACAGTGGTCATAGCGTTGTTTTTGTTTATTTTGAGATAACGACAAATGAACACAGTCCTTTTAACCACTTCAGTCTTGAAGGTACACCACGAGGTCGGGTTGCGGCAGATGAGTTAAGTGAACGCTACATGGTGGAATCTAGTATCCTTGGGATTCTAGAGGGCGGTGGCCATGAGCAGATAAAATACAGACTCCAAACTGTCATTAGAAATTGACTGGATCACAGATACTAACCACTATATGTAAAATAGGTAAACAACAGCTTTCTTCTGTATAGCACAGGGAACTATATTAAATTTCTTGTAATGAGCTGTAATGAAAAAGAAATTGAAAATATATATTATGTAGGTGTGTAAAAAATTTGTTTAATTAAAAAAGATTAAAATAATGCATCTCAGAAGTGTAGGAAAAAAAGAAAGTTATGGTGGTAAAATAAGGTGATTCGTGTACTGATTGATGCTGAATGCAGAGAATTAATCACATTTAATGATTAAGTGGTCCCACCAAATGACTGCTAAGTGCAATCTCCCCATGAATTTTTAATGAAAAAAATGGAAAAATTTTAAAGTATTACTTATCAGTTAAAAAGTATTCTGATCCTTAAACAACAAAATTCACATAAGCATCCCGACCAGCTGTGTGAGAAACACAAACTGAAGTCTTTGTTTAGAGCAAATTAAAACGGTTCTATCCAAATTCGTATGATAATAAAGATGGTTTTAAACTGTATTAGGTCTGTGTTCTGCCATTATGTCTTTGTTTTTAAGCCCACAGGGCTTTTAATCTCTAAAGACACATTTATCTGTTCTTCTTGCTAGAATTTATTTGTTTATTTTTTGCTAAGAGTGAGGGGGTTATCTTTTGTGGATTTGGGGACAAATCTCAGCCACCAGTGTATCTTTTGTGTGTATTAATGCATTTTCTGGCATTTGTTTGAAGTTCTAAAATCACACTTTGTCTATAGAGTGGTGAGGTCCAGAGAGAAGTCATGAAAACTGGAGAAAAGTTTAGAAAATATGACATAGAAAGGATGAGATTTTCATAAACAGTGTTTTGGCTTAGATTTTTTTTCTCTTGTTAAATGAACTTCAGTCCTTCAGATAGGTACCTCTTTACTGTGTTCATTTCCAAACTTGATTACTTTTTTTTTTTTTTGCTGTGTGAAGTGGGAATCATTCTGGGCTAATAGTGTTACAGTCATACTGCTGGTACTTTCCCATCTGTCTGTAGAATGATGCTAACCTGTTCAACTCAAGGACTTCCTTTCACCAAGGACAGACGGTGCTTGCAAAGACGGTGACCTTGCCCTCTTGGTCAAGTAGACAGTAATAGATTCATTTGTCTTTCTGTATAAACATTGATGTACCTATTAAGGGTAGAAAGGAAACACTTACAAATTGGCATTTTTCAAGAAACTGTGCTAAAATTTGTTTTTCTGTTCTACACAGGAAGAATTTAATGGAAAACCTGACTCCCTCTTTTTCAATGATGGCCAGCGAAGAATAGACTTTGTTCTAGTCTATGAAGATGAAAGTAAGAAAGAGACTAATAAGAAGGGTTACAATGAGAAACAAAGGGTGAGTTTTTTAAATCCTATTTTCCTTTCTTTTTATTCCTTATAATATTGTGAAACGAAAACCGTAAAGTACTATTTTTATGTAAGTGATAAAGTGAAACTGGGCTTTGAAATACCATAGAACAAACACACCTTCATACTTTCTCTGTTCATCGTTCCCTCAAGGTCTGGTAACAAAAAAAATTTTTTTTTTTTAAACTTAAGTTTGAAACAAACTTCCTTATGCTCTTAAGCTGAAGGTAGACTCTCTTCCCAGGAATTGCACTTTCTATCTGTGGAAGAGATTTACATTAAACGCACACTTAGCTATTTGCAACCAGGTATGAAAAGGAACTAATGATTAATGCTGACAGCCAGTGTAAAAACAACTAGCATTCAGGGTGTGCATGTGGCATGCATTTTCGTATTTAATTCTCAGAACAACCTATCAGGGGCCTGTCATTATACCATTCTGGATGACAGAGTCAGCCTTAGAGAGGCTAAATGAAATGAGTGCCCAAGGTCATGGACTCTAGTCTAAGAGCTGGTGTTGCTATGGTTCAAACTCTTGTCTTGAATCTCAACCTGGGCCCTCGAGCTCTCCCACTTTCTGTCACCTCCCTTCCTCCCTTTCACTCAAGGCCAGTCAAGCTGCTCCTCCTCCCCTTCCCTTTGCTGACAGGGCCATCTTTATCTCAAGACACTGAGCCATTTAGTAGGCTAGGGTTATAACAACTACCTGGAACTTCTTTACCAGAACATAAATGGCATTAAACTAAAACAGGTCAAAAAAAAAAGCATACCTGCCAGTGCCACTTTTACCCACTTTGAAAATCACTCCTCATTCTTTGTTTTTGTTTTTTCTCACACCCGTGCTATATGGGAGTTACACACACACACCTTTAATTGTCTTTCTTTGAACTTTCTCTCCAAAATCTATCGTTCTTAAATCTGTTGATTTCTGCCTATTCTTTCAGACTAAGTGATGAAAGCTGCTTAAAATGAAGCAATCAGTCCTATTTTATTTGGGGTTTTTTGTTTATTTTGGGAAGGGTAAGTTCCAAGGCTTGTATTTGCATGGTGTCACAGAATGAGCCCAGGCTCTGGAGCCTGACATTCAAATTCTAATCCTGCCAATGTATTATTTGGAGTAATTCTAGTTGAGGTCACAAACTAGCCCTGAATTACAGTGGCTTAACAGCATAAAGGTTTATGTGTTGCTCATGTCAGTCAGATGTGGCATCCCTGCTTGGCACAGTGGTTTGTGGGGATGGGTGGGACTCTGTTCCCTGCAGTCATTCAGGAACCCAGGCTGACACAGAGGCTTTGCCGTATTCAGCAGGTGGTTTCCGAGGTCACCCTGGGTATCAGCATAAGTGTTAGACAGGATGAGAGCAGGTGAAGAAAGTTCTCGTGCTTCTTGCCCTCTTCGGACTGGAAGTGACTCTATCAGTCACGTTCACATTCTGCTGGTCAGAGCTCAGGAAGGTGGAAAGTAGTTTTTGGCTGGGTAGCCATTGCTCAGTAGGAACTCCACATTATGAAAAGGGAACACAAGATTTTGGCGGACAGCTGGCTTGACTTTGGCCATAGCTGCTAACTGATGGTGTGACTGGGGTGGGTTTCCTTATCAGTATCATATTGTATTATTACTTTGGGGAAGCCTGTTATTTTTACATTTTGACATCTCTGAAATCAGGGTACATCTTACAAATAGTGTATCATAATTTGATTGGCTGAATTTTTTCTTATTGGTGCATAAAATATTGGCTCACGAAAGAACTGATGGCATCTTAGATCCAGGAAAATGGGGATCCCAATGCCTCGCCCCTAGGATTATGGTTAGAATTCAATAAAATAGTATACAGAGAGATGTTATATAAATTTTCAGCATATATTAGATAATAGATATTCTTCACTTTTATCTGGAGTTTTCTTAAAACAATGTACTGGTATGAAATGGCGTGAATCTCCTCTGTTATTATACAATTTCATCATTAGAATGAAACAGCTTAGAGTATTTTATCATTTTCCTGTGGACACTAAGATGTCTTTTATGTAGTCAGAATCACCATCATCAAATATTCATTAAGCATCACGTGCCGATAGAACTGGACCCAGCACTACATAAAGTAGGGTAAACAAATCTAACCCATTATAGTATAAAGGAAGCAGTTCTGGTTTTAGATGAAAGCTGCTCTGCTGTGGTGAAGGGGCCCCAGAGCTGCTTACATGATTAATAAGATCTGCAGTTGCTCTACACAGAAATGTAGGTCCCTGGGTAACTCTTCTAAACCAGGAGGGGGAAAAATTAACAATTTTGGCAATTCCTGAACTTACTGATTGGTATACCGTGATGTTGGTTTTCATAAGCTGTGCTTTGAAGTGTTTTGAGTCTCTGTTTGTACATACTACTCAATATAGACGCCACTAGAATTCAAAGCTGAGCTTTGGAATCACATTTTTATTAACTGGAGAAACATTTGTGAGTTCTGTCATGCTCCCTGGCAGGCCTTATTCAGGATTTAGGACGACACCAAGGAAAGGCTATTTCAAAAGCCTCTTTTCTTTGAGAGGGAGGAAAAATGATGTCTAAATCATATTGACTTTCTAAAACAACACTAAGGTTGACTTTGCCAGAGGCTGATCTAAAAGTATTGTTGCATTCTTTTTAAGAGATGGGGAAAGATAGAAGTGATAGGGCTTCAAACATCAGAAGCGTAAGGAAGAAAAGGCTGCCTCTTCACAGGAGCCAAAGAGAAAGTACTTTTCTGGCCAACCCTCCAACTGTCATGCAACTTTGTCCCCTCATATTAGTGAAAATACTTCAAACCTCACGCCTCCCTTTAAAAAGCATAAACTATTTACATTTAGATTACGCCTCGGGGGATGGTTATCGGTTGTTCCAGTAATAAAGCACGCATTTTGCCAGGACTGCTGTTCTTGGCACAGGATCGGTTCGAATGTTTTTGTTTGTTTTTTTACTGTGAGTAACAGGAAAAGCAAACTCAAAATGGCTTAAATGCTAATAGGAAATAATAATTCTCTCGTTTAAGAAATAGCCCAGAGGCAGGAGCATTTCTGAGTTAGAGGATTTATTGGCTTAGTGAGGTCCTCAGGGATCGAGGCTCGCTCCATCCTATGCCCCACCGTCCTCAAAATGTTGGCTGTTCTTAAACTGGCTCCACTTTGTTGCAGGATATTTGCCGCATCTCCAGGCATCCAGAGGCAGAGCGAATGCTTCTTCTTGTGGTTTTTTTGAAGGAGGAAGAAAGCTCCCCTAGAAGGGCCCTACGCAGACTTCCTTTCACATTTTGTTGTCTATCACTGTTCCATTCCCAAACCAAATATGGGCAAGATGAATGGAGTTACCATCATTAGCACTGACTGATCAACACTTGTGTTTCTTCTCTTGAATCACCTGGTCACCCAATATCTGAAGAACATCAGGCTTTTCTTAGTGATGAGGAAGGGGAGAAGGGCTGTTCAGTAGGTAGCCAGCAACGTCTGGCACAGCACGTGATTGAATGTATCTACATATGTTTGATCTATATTGGGAAGAACAGAAGTGTTTTTATTAAAACAAATTCCCAAATACTTCCGCAACTCCTCCTTCTCCATTTTGTTAGCAATGCTTCTTTCTTCCATTTCCTTTTTCTAGAACTGCCAACAAGTGGCAGAGCTGATTTACTCTGAATTTCGTTTTGTCTGACACTTAGCCTCCCTTGAAACAGATGTGCTTATGACCAAGTATTGGTATAATTCAGATGATGGTGAAAGAGGGTATAAAGGTCTAGGTAGCACAAGAAAGGTCTAGATAGCACAAAACAGTGTAAGCAATCTCAAATGTGTGTAATTTATTTACTTTTTTATCAGCAGAATCCATTTTTAAAAGCTGATAGAAAATTGATTTCCTTGAAGTTGATGAAAAGTTTGTACATGGCAGTATAAATTCGTATGGTATATCTGACCTTAAGAATTCTTAGTTTATGGCCAAAGAATCTGGCCAGTGGGGACTATAGAATAAGAGAATTTCCCAAAAAATGAGAGAGTGCGTTAAATTATATCCAAACTTTCAATTAATGTGAGACAACTGACTAATTGGTTACAGATCCTGTGAGCTTTTTAAACTGTTACCCGTTATTTTAGATGAGTTTTCCTGAGGCTGGAACTGTTTACCTAAAAGCTGGATGAGATCTCTTTGGAAATGTTTAAAATTTCATCAGAAAGTTCTAATATAATGGACACAGTATGTCGCTCCATTTATTGACATTTTACATTCTTTAGTAAGGTTATAATACTCCCTATGAGGATCTTACACATTTTTATTAACTGTTTAAGTTTTTGTTACTGTTGTCAGATACATTCTAAAGTGCAGTTTGTGATTTATTATTGTGTATATTGTTAAAAGAGAAGTCTGTTCACTTTCCTAAGTTCTATCTAGGAAACTTGGTAACCTTTTTAGTTCTCATAGCTTCTTCTGCTTGTTTAAAGTTTTCTCAAAAGAAGACCATATTGTCTACAAATGACAGTTTTGTTGTACCTTTCTTTATACTTCATTCTTTTTCTTGTCCAAGTGCAATGGCTGGCACCTCTTGAATAAAACCAGTAACATACAGTAGTCACGACTGTATTTCACCACTGTTCCTGATTTCACTGGGAATGTTTCTGAAATTTCACCATGAAATATCATATGGCCTATAAATTTTTGATAGCTTTCTTTTAAAAGTTAAAGGAGTTCCCTTCTAGTCCTAGATTGCTATCTGAGTTTTTATAATGGGTTTTTAAAATTGATCAGATGCTTTTTTTTCCTTTGGTATCAAGGTGGTCACATGGCTTGATTTCTCATTAAGTCCCATATGCATTAAGTTTGTGATTATTTGTGGTTAATAACATGATAACTAATGGTGTAGATAACTCAGACAACATTATTGTCTTCAGCATGCAGTGTATCATTTTTATAGTCTTTACTTATTTGTGCTAATACTATGTTAACGTAGGTTATTTATTCATAATTCATTA